TTTATTTATTTATTTATTTGTTTGTTTGTTTGTTTGTTTGTTTGTTTGTTTGTTCTTGTTGCAGTTCATGCAAGCACTATTGTAGCTATAAACCTACACTGCTCTCAGTTTCACATTGCGTGGTTGTTTCGAATGACGTCATGTGATATTCCAGTTGGACGTGCCCCCAGGCTGCACCTGAGGTGCCAGTGCTATCTGGCCCTGATATTTGCACTCGCAAATAACCACACAATTCTAAGTAAATAACAGTGTGGAGCAAAACTGGTCTCGGGTGAACCATTGTCAAATATAACTGGAGACAACACCGGAAACTGGAAGTTGATGCCACAAACGACAAGCACCCCCTATTGGCTGGCTGCAGACTGAAATTTAAGTCCCGCCCCTCTTCGTTAAGGAACAGGACATTTTCCTGCTATTGTTTAATAAATATTTTAAATAATTAACTTTAGATAACTTTCTTTCTGAGTTGATTTTTGTTGATTCACACACGTCTTCATGCTGGATGTTCGAATGTGTGTTTTTAAAAGCACAACAATCAGTTTCAATTACACTACGCGTGCACACGGCAGAGCTAATTTTTTTTTTTTGCACGGTCGTTCACAATGTAATTTATTTACAACCATCAGCRGACCCCAGCAGATTAAACAGTCTGTGACCCTAAGAAACCTGCACGTTATGAGATAATAAACTGTTCATAACTTTTCAACAGACCCCCACTTGAAAACCTCTGAACTGTCACTTTAAACTAAATTTATCCAACGCTATGCAGCTGGATGGAACAGAAATGTGTGGACATTTCTTAAAACTGTTGCACCTTTTCAGATCACTAATCATAACATACCTGGGTTCATTAATCCGCTTTTGCAGTGCTAGCTCGTGATGAGGGGTTGGGGCACGCGCCTGTTCCACCTGAACCAATCACGCAGGAGGAGGCAGAGCATACCGCCTCGGTCTGCCACCGCTGCTGTGTGTGTGTATGTGTGTGTGTCAGCTGCTAGGTCAGGACGTCCAGCCGGCTCACCTGTTCGGAACCGAACCTGCTATCCTCGGAACTGGTSTCGGAGCAGAGTACGTGTCCCGACGAGCCTCCTCTCTCCTCCGTCTGGTAAGTGAGGCGGGACGGCGCCACCGCGTCACGGATGTGCTGAATGTGAACTCTTCCTGTGGACGGTCGGGTCGGAACCACCGCGGACACGGATTCGGGTCCAGGACTGAGCGTTTAATGCCTCTGGACTTGTTCGTTTGGTTCCGTGGAGCGCTTCGGTGACAACATGATGCGTCCTGCAATGCAGTCCAGGTCCAAAATGACATCAGTACCAGAGTTAGTGCAGAATCCTCCAATCAGTTTTATTCTAGTGGCAGCGTGAACACAATTTGACTTCATGTTTATTTAGGATAAAACATGGTTTAAAATAGACTGCTAATATTTGTCATGTTGTCTAATGTGGCTTTGATGATATCAGAAACAAGTTTAGGCTCTATTACAGATAATTTGCTAAAGAAAAGCTTTAAGTTTTAAACACAAACTCTAAAAATACACTCTAAAAATGAAATGTTGGATTTACTTAACCATGTTATGTTACCTGGTTCCACTTAACTGAGTTGAGTAAATTCAAAGCAACATATTCATGTTCTTTGGCTAAAAAACTGGTATATTGCTTTGAATTTACTCAACTCAGTTAAGTGGAACCAGGTAACATAACATGGTTAAGTAAATCCAWCATTTCATTTTTTACAGTGCAGCGTCTGGAGGCTATATTCACAAATTAAATATATATATTTTATGATGAGTGTTAAAAGAACATTTTTGCTGCAATTGCCATAMAATATAAACAACCAAAGAAATTGCATTTTCTGCAAAAAACAGTCTGATTGCTAAATGCATGGCTGCTGAAATTAGAGCTAAAGGAAACATAATAGCATACTAGCCAAAAGCAAATTAGCAAAACGCTACCTAAAAGCTAAACATAGCTATAAGCTAAAAGTATCAAACCTGTCATGGAAGCTGAAAATAGCAAAAGGTAGCTAAAAAAATGAAAGGCTAACTTGCAAAAGGCTAGGTAGTAGCTAAAAGTAACAAAAGTTCAGGTAAAAGTATCAAAAGGCCAACTAAAAGCTAAATAAATAAATAAATAAAGACTATTTAAAATCCTCAATTGCATGGAAAGTATCAGAATGATTGAATAATTAAATAGCAAAATATCAGCTAAAAGCTCAAATCAGCATAAAAGGTAAAAACAACAGCTAAAGCATATTTCAAAAAGAACCATAATTTTGGAGAAACTGAAAAAAATATTAATGCAACTTTGAAGAGTTGTTTGTAAATAAAGTGAAATATTTCCAAAATAACACTCATCTCCTGAATGAGCTAAACGTTTTGATGGACAGGTGGCTAAAATATCAGAAGCAGTCAAATTGCAAATAATGTAATAAAACAGGAAAACTAGAGCGTGAGCGCTGAATCAATATTTGATTGTTTTGTTGATTGAATAAMCATGTTACACATCAAGCAGCTGACTTGACCACAAGTTTCTGCKACTGTTGTTTTGTTTGGTCATTTTTAAGAACCACAATCTTCAAGGAGTCTAAAACAAAACAACAACAAAAATAAAAACTCAGAAGAAATATATATTTGTCTTAATGAATGGTACCAATGAAGTAAAAAGCCACGCTGTTGTGTTGTTTTTACCTACAGCGTAAATCCCTTTGAATTTAGCATGTACAACTTTATAA